TCCCTTGTAAGCCAAAAGTTTTAACATCAGTATAGAATTTAGCTTGATGTAGGTAAAATATGTTCACATGCAAGTTCAAGAAGGACCTCCGCATTCTGAGATTCTACACTTAGGATCGAAGATAAGTTACGCTAAACAATCGTCACTACCAGCCGTTTGGTGGTTGCACTTCTATAAATACATCATCATCAAGTCTGGCAGTAACGTACTATTAGCACAATCGATAATCAGTGTTATTAAATTATTTAGCCACGCAACACAAAAGAATCAAAAATCAAAGCTTGGTACTGGAGGGTAAACTTGAAAAGAACATATGAACGTTCTTGTATAAAATCAGAATGTCAGGCAAGGCAATAAAATGGAACTTGCGCTCAATCTCGAGCAAAATGAGTTTGAATGAAATAAAAAGAAAAACACAAGAAAAACGGGTCGGACTGTAATTTTCTGAAATTTTTGATAGGAATTTTCTCTTTATCGCATGTTTTTTTTGTTGATAAAAATGAGTATGACTGAAATACGTTTGACAAAGATACCCCAAAAAAGTATGCCTACAGACTTAAATTCGGCTAAAGATATTGTTGTCAACTAATTCAAAATTACAGAAGACTCCCAAAAATAACGATCACAAGAGAGCCGGGAAATTTCTAAGCAAAAACAGGAAAATTATTCCAAAAAAATCATTGACTGACCTGATTTAATTTTTCCAAAGGCGTCTTTGATCTCAACGTATTTCGGCTCCTTTCCATGGACTGGAAATGCGATTTCATTCTTATCAGAGAACACCGTTGATGCCCTAAGACAAGATCGTTAAGCAATGTTCAATGAAAAAACAAAGATTCATACTATCAAATTAATTAGATGAAATTCACAGAATTATCGTCATGGCAGAAAGATAAAGTATGAAAAGACGAAACTAAAGGATGACCAACCTGCAAGCAGCGGTAGTAGTAGCAATTCCACGTGCGGATAGTCGTGACAGCATACTTCCCCTAAAAACGCAATTTTTCAACTTTTTTGAACCTAATAAAACGACCATAACGTAAATGTGAGTCTAACATATAACGAGCAAAGCCAAAAGTCAATGGACGGAAGATCACAATAATAGTGGGGTACTTACGAGAGAGAACAGAGCTGTTCAATCGAAGCGACAGACATGTGGCAGAGTGGTTGAAAGACGTCTGGAGTGCGGAGTGATTGAGTGGATTTATATAGGTTAAATGATGATGACCAGGGAGCCAGCCGGTTGCACTTTAAAGACTGCTCGCGCACTGAGTACGCATGAGCTTCGAACTACGTCTGATGGAATGTTCGGGAAGATAACAATAAGCAGAATGATGAATCAGAAGTTGTGCAGGGAAAAAAGCAAAGAACTAATTAGCCTACTTCTGCCCTTAGATGCCCCTTTGTAAACAGAATTTGTCCAAACAAAAAGTATAAATGGACTATATAGGCCATTTATAGAATTGTAACGATAGGATGTGATTGCGGTCTTTGCCCCCACCGGAGCATAAAACACTCATAGGGAATGGCCATACTATTTTAGCGATTCCTGCGATTTCTAGACTTCCTAAATCTTGGCATTAGTTCATATCCTGTCTACGAAGCACCAAATGACAAAGCTCAGCGTTTTTGCGGCA